TCCACTCACCTCAGCCTCCCAAAGCGCTGGGATTACAGGCTGAGCCACCCAGCCCGGCTTCCTAATTTTTAAGTTAATAACTACCATAGTGAATTGTGACCTAGTTCTGCTGATCTTTCAACTCTTCTCTGATTTGTGCACCTTTGTGGGGTGGCCAAACTCTCCCAATTACATCTTGGTTTACCACCCACAAGGAAAGAAAAGGTTTACCACCAACAAGGAAATAAAGTGCTTACCATTTTGGATTAGCCTCTCTCAGAAAGTCCTACCAATGCAACAATGGAAAGGATTGTGGCTCATACTGGTATCAAGTGATTGGAACTATGACGGACGGCCTATTGACATTCCCAGCTTCCAGCCAGTTGTGAATCAGCTTGGAGCACAGTCAGGCTGGAACTGTTTCTTCATGGTGCTGTGAGCAGCATTTCTCTTGTCATTGGCTAACGTGTCTGGTTCTGAAAGGCTCTCATAATGAGGCCAGGTTCGTCACCTGGGGAGCATCTGTCTATAGAGGAAGTTGTTCCTGGCCAACTCCTTATTGGGAAAACTGTAAGACCTCATCTTTGCCATCTAATCTTTTGTTTGTTTATCTTACTCTTGTGGCACTCATAACTCCCACCCCCCTCCTAACAGGCCTGTGTTAGCACACACGGACAGGGAAATCTCACTGTCTTCTTGATTGTACTATATGTACCTCGCGGGTTGGAATAGTACCTGGCATATGGTGAGTGCTCAGTAAATACTGGCTGAATGTTGTAACCTGGTTGAGTCTTTTCCATGGCAGCTGGCCCAGGAGTGGTCTTGCTTCAAGGTGGGAGCAGGACTAGATACCTCACTGACAGTCCCTCGGAACCCTGGGCGTGGAAATGCTGAGAATCCCACAAGCCCCTGTCAGCGTGAGCCAGCTGCCGCTTTGCAGAGGGGAGAAAAGAAAGTTGCCAGGCAGATGGTGGGGGAGGGGTGAGAAGATGGGTGCGCAGCCAGAGCATCTCGGACGATGAAGGGAGTCATTGCTAATGGGGTATGACAGGATGGGGGTGTGGAAGGATCTCAGCCACAGCAACGCCTTTTTCCCTAGGACAAAGGGGGCAGTGATGCAGAGCGCGGGGAAGAGCCGCATTTGATTCCCTCGAAGGAGGGGTCAGATGCAGCATGGCAATCCGGGAAGAGATGCCTCAACCAGGGGCCGGAATTGAAATCTGAAAACAAAGGGCTTCCCGGCAGCACAACTGTCGCTTTGCCTCCAGGACTTTTGGGGTTAGAAGACTTTCAAACCCTAAATGAGGTCAGAGGCAGAGGCAGAGAGACCACCACATGAAGAGACCGCTTGTCTTAATCAAGGGTTCTACTCGGACTGTGAACAGCTTTTGGACTGCTCGTCCTGCAACATCTTTGCAGTTGCAGAATGGCACCTTATCATTCTCAGTGGGCACAACTGGCTCACAGACCCTAGTCACCTTTTCACTGGAAGACATCGGAATCTCCTTCTCAGACCACTCAGCGGCCACACAGCCTGTGGTACAGCCAGGCCCACACTGACCCACCCCTGGCCCATCTCTGAGAATCCACAGGTCCAAACCATGTTAAGTTATATCTTTGATAAAGTTATTTTAAAAAGGAATTTAGACAGCCCCATCCCCAAGAAAGGAAGCATGGAATTTTCTAGAATAAGCTATCCCTTAAAACTAAGTCAGTATTTATCTTCTTGATTAAAGAAAATCTTTGTCATTGGGATCACACTACCAGGAATTATAGTTTTATGCAACAATACTTTGAACTTTACCATTTGAATTTACTTTGTTTTAAAGGAGGTGGTGGTGTTGAAAATTTTTTAAATTTGCTCATAACTACATAACTGACTTTAGCAGTAGAGGTAAGTGATGTCTGGATAAACTATCTAGCAAATGGGAGCCAGAAGAGATTTTTAATGAGTGTAGATTGGCATCTGTCAGCAAAAAGACAGAGAAGTGTTTCTAAAAAGAAGTCAGAGAAGGGCAGGGAGATACAGAAAGAGAGAGGAAGTATAACCTTCCAACAAGAACTGCAGCCTCGCTGGTGGGTGGGACCCAGTGGAGGAAGTGATGTCTGATTTCTTTCTCAACCAGGCTCATTTCCAATTGGCTTTGTGAATCCTAGGTGATAGACCCAACAAAAGAATGATGGCATTCGTTTGCTTTGACATTATTTTAATACCTGGCAGGGGAAAACACAGTAATCTGACAACAGACTTAGAAATAGCATCCCTCCAGGATTGTTAAAAACACTGCACCTGACACAGTCCACCAGATTCTTAAGGTGAGGTCCCAACGGGCCAATCCGGGTGTAATCTCACTCTGGTGGGTTGACAGCGAGAAGCAAGATGAAAAATAAGGCGATCTGAACAATAAATCACTGTTCCTGGGCACCATACACGGATGAGAAAATTTCCCCATCCTTAGCAGGCTTGCCCTGCTGCATAAGGAATGAAGTAGGGGACAGGATCTCAAAACACACCTATAAGATGTGTCTTGCAGGAAGCATACACTCGTCAGTGAGAGATCCTTTTTTGGACTTGTCATGCAGCCTGGCTGAAATAGATCAGATCTTGGATCTGTCTGGAAAAGATTGTCTTTCCCTTTCCTTTTGGGGCGGGGAGTGGGATGTGAGATGGAGGTGGGCTCGACTTTCTTTTCTAAATCATTTGTTCTCGGTTCTGTGGAC